CAGTGGGGGCCGCGATCGGCCGAACCTGCCGCGTCAGCAGGTAAATAAAATTGGCCCGGCCCGCCAGGGTGCTTACCCTGGCGAGCCGCGTGCCGAATGTTGCCGACCCTGGTCTAGGTATACCACATCCACAGCTTCTCCCTTATCCACAAGGCTCGTTATCCTATCAAAGAAAGCTATCAGATTGGTTTGACGCGATTTGTTCTTTACAAATCCATGCTGGCTATTCCCTATCACCTTACCACCTTCCAAGTGTTTGCAGATGATTTCCTTAATTACTTGCTCCATTATCTTCCCTGGCACAGAAGTTAAACTAACAGGTCTGTTGTTTCCTGGGTTGTTTTTATTTCCCTTTTTATAGATGGGCACTATATTTGTCCTTTTCCAGTCTTCTGGAATCTCTCCCGTCTCCCATGATTTTCCAAAGATAATAGCTAGAGGCTCAGATACCTCCTCTATTAGCTCCTTGAGTATTCTAGGATGCATTTCATCAGGCCCTGGTGACTTGCAGGCATCTAACTTTTCTAAGTGATTTTTAACTTGTTCTTTTTTTATTTTATCTGCTAAACCTACCCCTTCCCATTAGCATTCATTAGGTTAGGCATTCCTTCAGACTTCTCGGTGAAGACCGAAACAAAGAAGTCATTAAGCATCTCTGCCATTTCCAAGTTTCCTGTTACTGTTTCTCCCTCTTCACTGAGCAGTGGGCCTACCCTGTCTTTGGTCTTCCTCTTGCTTCTAATGTACTGATAAAAAGTCTTCTTATTTCCCTTTATTCCCGTAGCTAGTTTGAGCTCATTTTGTGCCTTTGCCTTTCTAATCTTGCTCCTGCATTCCTGTGTTGTTTGCTTATATTCATCCTTTGTAATCTGTCCTAGTTTCCATTTTTTATGACTCCTTTTTATTTTTTAGATCATGCAAGATCTCGTGGTTAAGCCAAGATGGTCTTTTGCCACATTTTCTATCTTTCCTACCCAGCGGAATAGCTTGCTTTTGGGCCCTTAATAGTGCCCCTTTGAAAAACTGCCAGCTCTCCTCAGTCGTTTTTCCCCTCAGTCTTGATTCCCATGGGACCTTACCTATCAGCTCTCTGAGCTTACCAAAATCCGCCTTCCTGAAATCCATTGTCTCTATTTTGCTGTTCTCCCTTCTACCCTTCCTTAGAATTTCAAACTCTATGATTTCATGATCACTTTCACCCAAGCTGCCTTCTACTTTCAAATTCTCAATGAGTTCCTCCCTATTTGTTAAAAGATCAAAGCACAATATGGCTCAGGTAATGCACTAGAGAATGAAACTGCCCCATAATACAAAGGGTAAAACAAATCAACCTTGTTAGACTTTTGACTTACTCCATTGATCACCAAAATAAAGGTACATGAATGCAGCATATATATTTTTCTTGGTGTCTTTGTGGCTTAAAAACAGCTAAATGGAATTTAAAAATTAAAATTCTGGACAAAACTGTTTTCTATGTGAACATGACTTATACCGAGCTTCCAGCTGAAAAGACACTGCCCATTACATGGAAAAAAAATCCTCTGGTTTTACAAAGGAAATAGTGACTTAATTTGAATGCTAGCAAAACTAAAATAAAATCTTCTGGGAGGTGGAAGGAGAATTAGTATGGCTTTGTATTCCCCAGGAATAGAAATCACCTTGTTTCTTAGTGTCTGATCCTGTTCCCCTTGACTTCAATAGGAGCAAGATCTGATTCCTAAGTTTTCTGTCAGAATGTTAAGCCATGTTTTATCAGTGAAACTCTATTAGGTAACCTTCATTCATGTGGTGTTATATATTTTTTGACATGAAGACATCCAAATGGGGGAGATGCAGACAAAAAATTGTTTGCAGTTCTACTGTATAGTGTCTTATTGAACACGCTGTCAAAAGCTTTTCAAAGGGAGGTTGTTATCCCCATTTTACAGATTGGAAGACTGAGATAGAGCAACTAAGTGACTTGACTAAGGAGATGCAGGAAGCCAGCAGAAGATTCCCAAGTCCCCCTTCTTTCATCACTAAGACATAAATGAACAGATCCTACATTATTTCTTATCAGAAATAACATTTTCTGATGTAAATTATTTGTATCAACTAAGGGTAGACAGAGGCAAATTTTCTGTGAATGAGGGACAGTTAGGTGTACCTTAGGCTCTGACCCTGTGTAAATGTATTGTTCAAAACCTACCAATGTTTAAATGCAAGTCAAAGACTTGAAAGGAGGGACGCAATAAAAACAGCAGTGTAGAAAGCTTTCACCTATGTGGAATTTAATTTTTTAGGCTGAACTACATATTCTGTCACCTCTCTTTTATGATTCTACATTTCCCATATAAATAATTTACAATAGCAAGACAAACAGCAGGTTGGTGAATGACAGAGACAAATGTGGCTCTAAACTCTCTGGGATTCCTGTCATCAGGAGGGGCAGTTAGAGAGGTGAATGTCAGCGCATGTGATGGCTCTTAATTTTGCATGAAATATTTTTGTTTTAATCAGGGTACAAAGCCCAGAATCAGGGTCAATGCTAAAAGACATTTTAAAGAAAATGATTAACATAGGCATGCAGCAGATGGAGGTTATAACAACCCCTCCTCCCTCCACACTAGTTCTGCTTCCCACACCAAGACTTTTCTCAGCAGAAGGCAAATGGGCACCTTTTCTGTCAATCTTGGGATGTTAGCCATAAGGAAACGTGTGTGTGGGGGACAGAGGAGGAGAGTAAACCCACACCCAATGCTGGATGCTCTGGGGAGTTGCCTGATGGGTCCTGAAGTTGCAAGGAATGCCATGGTGTAAATGGGTTCTGACATTTTATTTTATACCATTTCCTTCTGGATACAGTGAGTGAGATTACATGGATGGTTCAAGTTTGAAGATGATTTGCCTTCCAAGATCGCCCACAGAGACTTCTTTGTATCGTGCTCTTTACAAACTTAAACCTGAGGCTGAAAACACAGGTCCAGAGCTTTTACTATGGCGAATAATCCACTTCATTTCAGCTAGACTACTCATCATTATAAAGTTAAACATCTGTGTGCTTGTAGGATGGAGCCACAGACTAAGAGACAGTCCCAGCGTTCACCATCTATTCGTGACAAAACACTCATGCCCATTATCTATTGATTACACTCCCAAGATTATCCCTCTTCATTACATCCCCCTAACATAGGGGCAATTGGAATGGGGGGGGGGGGATATATCTTTAACAATGCGGGGAATGAACAATTGCAGTTGATTATATATAGAATATGATCACATCGCCTCTGATTTCTCTAGCATCAAAGTGCTTGGCAGGCACCTCTATTGTAGTTTTGGCTTATTGTAGCCACGTGAGCGCACAGTGCGCGGTGTACGAGTGAGGGTCATTCCACGGAACAGGGATCAAGGCAGATCTCGGCAAAAAAGCCCTTTTTGGATACTCGCCCCTGCTCACTTGTACCGTTCTTCCAGCAATGCCTCTGCCTTTCTCGATCTCAGCTTCTCCTTTGGGGGCGGGGGGGGGGGGGGGGCCAATAGGCTCTGAGAGGGGGATCCCACGAGCACAGGAGTCTCCAGGCTGTCTCTGCTAACGGCAGGCATATGAACCTGGGTGGAGAGGGGGCGTCAGGCAGAATGACGATGACCCGAGATGCCATGGGAGGTGGGGCTTGAGCCGCCCAGCCCCCAAGGAAGGGGCTGGGTGACTTGGGCAGCATCCCTGAGCGAGGCACATGGGCTGTTCCTGGGTAGCAGTACTGGCCGCTGGTGGAGCTGCTGCTCTCTCTCCCAAGCCTGCCAAAACAAGCTCTTCAAGTTTGGGGCTCTGCTCAAAAGAAACTGAAAGCGGGATTCCCTTGCCTGCCTCTCCGGGCTCTGCACGGGGCGCGCAGCGGGGCCAGCACAGATGGATTTAATTCTAGTCCTTTGGGCTTGCGTGGCCTCTGCGAGAGCAGGTAAGAGGGGGTGACCCACCCACCGGAGGAGGCGGCTAGGGGCAGAGGTGCAAAGTGCATCTTTGCAAAGGAGCAGCTCGCGTCGGGGCGGATGATTGTTAGTAAAGGGCTGGGCTGTCTCCCCGTGCAAAGGCGATCGGCACCTGCAGCTTGGCCCGTGGGTGCGGTGGGGAGATGCGACCCGCTCTCCTGTGTCTTCGCTGCGCTGTCCTTTATTGAATAGCATCGCAAATAATCGGTATTATCACGGTCATCCTCCAGCTGTGAGCTAGCTAATGCTCTGGGCTGTATGTGTGTGACTAGCGATGTCCGGGAGTGGATGGGTTTTCATGCAATCGTATCGGGAAAATCAGCCACATGGATGCAATTAGCTGCATCTGGGAAGGGAAAGTGGCACACTCTTCGGTGCTACGTACCTTGCTGTACCAGGGCCACCAGCAACACCCGAGCCCACGGCGCAGCTCCTCAGTGCCCTGGGAAGGGTTGGGTTGGGTTGCATGCTGCAGCGACTGGTTAGAGAACTCGGAAACTTTCCTTTGGTTTGGAAATAGCTCGTTTCGGGTCATGCCAGTCCAGCTCCTACCCCACCCAGCCCGGTTGGAAAGCAGGCTTATTTCCACACCCGCTGCATGTTTAAGGTGGCGGCAGGCTGTACTATTATCATTAGTTGCTGCTGCTGGAAACGTGTCTCCGAGGCCGTGCCTGAAATAATCATGTGGACGCAGCGATATCTGTGTTCAGATTTCCCCCACTTAAAACCGTTCCCATGTGTTTGAGATTAGTGAGATCCGCTCGGACAGGGCATGCACCTGCTGAGGATTTCCCCCTGCTATAGGCTGCTGAAAGCAGCGGACTCCTTTCTCCCAAGGAAAAATCATTTTGCTTAGATTTCACTTTGGGGTTAGGCTGAGTTTTTTTTGCGTGTCTGGGGTCCGCCACTGGGGGATTTCAGCCTCGCTTATTATTGGCTTTACAGATGGGTGGTTCCCCTGGCTTTACAGTGGAAATAGCACTTCGGCGAATATTAAGGTTGGGATAGGAACGGCTGGCAGTCTTGAAATCAGAGGTGAAATTGGCATATTAAAACTGCCCTTATAAAACCCACGGTCAATCGCATAAAAATATCAAGCTACCAGGTCTTTGTGCAGTTGCAACTGGCGAGTAGATCAACCCCCCTTATTTGTGTGGGCTCCTCACCCAGGAAAAAATCCTCACTTATTGACTTTTTAATATTCTTTATGGGGATCATTCTCATTTCGCCAGTCTCCTCCATGTTAGCCCTTGTTTCCTCTGTTCGCTATAGCAGTATTTAAGAACCGTTCTCTCAGGAAAGGCTTATGTGAGGCAAGATTCAATAATGAAAAGTTTCAGGAGTCTGCCTCTCTCGCTCCCTGCTGTTTGTTCACGGAGGGGAAGGATTTGAAGTAGGGGCAGGTGAAGGCTTAAGAAAGCACACTTTTGAAAAGGAAAAATATCAGCTCTCTCAGGGGTTCTCTTTGACTCAGGCAGACCACAACTGCAGGCAGAATTTTGTGGTGTAGTCTCTCCTTTAATAATGTTGGGAGCATCCTTTACAATGTTGGCATTAAACAGTAATTTGCCAGAGTATTCTAAGACTCAGACCCTTACAACAGACTGACTAAAAAGCTTCCTTATTTTTGAACAGTCTTTCTCCTGTATGAATATAAAAATACAGTTTTATTCCGACAAGTGCAGGCTGTTTTTGAGAAGGACTTTACATAAAGTCTCCTGATCATTTTGAAAGCAGGCATAACAGATCACACATGAGCTTATATGTTGATATCTTTCATCTGCAAGTGTTGCTATATTGACTGCAATGGGGGCCATTTTAATTAAAATGTGTGTTTTAGTAGGAACAATGCTTCTTTGTAATATAGCCTCCATGGGCATTTAGGAATGGTTAAAGACCTGGCAAATCCATAGGAACAGTCAGGCTGAGAGTTCCAAATCCCTAATTTAAAGAATGAATAGAAATAATATAACAGAAGCATGACTTTCTTGTGGAGTCTTTGTTCCCTTTACTCTTGTGTAATTTACTATTCTAAATAGGTACTGATTTAGAGTATGTTAGGGGGATGTTTTCTTGAAGATGTGCAAATGATATTTTCAAGGAAACTACTTAGTAAAATTACTATATATTTTCAAAGGAAATCAATGTGTAAAATGGCAACTAACATCAGAAAGTATTACAGTATCACCCCATTATCTAAGATCACTAGAATTTGAAAGGTGTGACATAACAATGTCTAGGGAGAAAATATCTCTTGTTTTCACAGCTAATATAACACCAGTATTGTATGTTGACACTCCAAAAGGTAGTCAAGACTAATCTGAGATTAATTTATTTGGCATTGTGAAGCCATTTGGAAAGTTCTATGTGCAACAATTGCTATCCTGCTGTTAACAGTCAAAGGTAAAATACATGTTATAGAGTTCACTTCCTGCTACCACTCAACTAGCAAATATTTGTATGAGACTGACTAGATTGTATCAAGACCGTTTCTACTTAAAGTTCCCTCCCCACTGCAACCTAGATGTGTACCTATGTAAAGTATAAAGGAATGTATAATCTTTGTTTTGTGTTTGTACAGTGCCAAGCATAATGGGTCCTGGTCCATGATTAAGGCTCCTAGGGGGTTCTAAAAGTAGTAATTTATATCACATAATTTATGCTTTCTGTGTACCAAGCCATTTAATTACAGAGAGTTTCCCATGATTCCTGGACTCAAGTTTCCAAAGTGATGATAAAGGAGCAAGTAAACAATGCAATTTGTCAGAGATGTTAGATTGATTTAATTTCTTTCAGGGATTTCTTGGTGACATCATTCATATTATTGAGTTATAGGCTCAATCCTGTAACATACTATATATACTACCTTCAACTCTTCATTAATAAGGGCTGAGTTTTTTTCTGTCCTAACTCAGACAAAACTCTCACTAAGGCTAGGTCTACACTACCCGCCTGAATTGGCAGGTAGAAATTGATCTCCCGGGGATCGAATTATCGCGTCTCGTCGGGACGTGACAATCGATCCCCGAATCGACGCTCTTACTCCACCAGCGGAGGTGGGAGTAAGCACCGTGGACTGGGAGCCGCGGAGGTCGATTTTGCTGCCGTCCTCACAGTGGGGTAAGTCGGCTCCGATACGTCAAATTCAGCTACGCTATTCGCGTAGCTGAATTTGCGTATCTTAAATCGACCCCCCCATGTAGTGAAGACCTGCCCTAAGTGACTTAAGGATTTGGCCTACTGACTTCAGTAGGAGTTGAGGGCAGTGAGTACCATGTGGGATCCTATCCATATTTTGCACAACTTTAAAAGAAACAATATAAAGGCCAATAGTTCTCATTTAAAGGAGGAAATGGGATTTTCCAATTTTTTTGTTCTACTTAAAAGACACAACATAAAATGCTGGATGCTAATAGAGATACATGTGATTTTCTTTGTATGAGTCTTTTACTTAAGATCTCTGAAAAAGAGAGTGGGAGACTCCAGGCGGACCAGAGACCTGCTTATAAAATAGAAGCTATTTGTTGTTTAATTATTAAATAACCAGGGTTTTGAGTGTCTGTGTACAATCTCAAGAGCCAGCTTAAGAAAATGACTAGGTATTTAAAACAATGTATGGGCTTGCTAAAGAACTGCTATGATATTGTAATAGTTTCCTCTTTGGAAAGCTTGTGATAGTTGTTGGAAAGAGGCACAGTATAGCTGGTGGGCCAGACTCTCAGCTTGTGTGGATTGAAGTTAATGGAGCCACATTGATTTATACCAGCTCAAGCCTGCTGCTGTTTGGAATCAGTAGTTTAAAAAAAAAATAGTGAGGCTATTATGCTTAATGTGGTCATCTATTTTTGCTGTGTTAGGGCCCAGTTCTGCTCCCATTGAAGTCGGTGGTAAAACTTCCATTGACTTTAATGGGTTCAAAATTGGAGCTTATTGGGCATGGTTTAGTGGTCCATTGTTACAGTTTAAGACATTTTTGGACTGATCCAGCATCCAACGATAGCGCTATAACATCTCTCATTGACTTGAATCGGCATTGGATTGGGCCCTTAGTATTTGGAACCACATATTTCAATCTCCGCTGGGTCAGCTCAGCCCTTCATTCTTCCTAAGTAGATCATTTTAGTATCATAGAGTTTATATGGGGTTTTCTTTTGGATGAGACCTTAAAGAAACAATGTCCGATCTGTTTTGTGTGGACAGTAAAGCTCCCCAGATGCTTTTTGGCTTTGACGTCCTTAGCCAAAATTTGTCCTCCCCGACTGTTGGTTTTTTTTTTTTTTTTTTTTTTTTGGTAAGCTGCTGATCTCTACCTAGAGAGGGATGCATTTCTGCTGTATGCTGTGAGGCAGTGTAGGATGCTTTGAGATGAAATGCCCTATGCAATATAAGCTTTAGCATTACCATTTATTATCCTTATCTCTCTCCATTTTGGCCAAAGAGAGGTAGTTTAAAAACAAACAAAACCCCCCAACAGTTTCTAGTAGTGGGTTTAGCCAGACAGAGGTAAACTTGTTCAGGATGATTTGCAGTTAGAAGAGTTGGTTCAGTGTTAGGAGTGTTAGCTATCACAGGATGTGGTAGTGCCGGTCTGAAAGAGATGTCAAAGTCTCTTTGAAATTCAAATATTGTAGTTTCTGAGCATCTGGCCTGGATTAAGCCAAAGAGAACCTTAAAGTCCAGTGTTATTACAGAATTTCTAGAAAGTTTGTATCTCCCAGTTTATATTGTAAGATCAGTTTATTCCAGTTGTCTTAATATTCTACAGAACTGTTTAGTCTTCTACTAATATGAAAGCATTAGGGCAGCACATACTAAATAAACTTAATTTGGAAAGCCAGAAGTGTTTTTATGAAGTCATATCTTCCTATCAATGGGCTCAATCCTGCAAGTTGCACAGTACTCTCAATTGCCACTGTTGGAGTGAGGTTAAAAGAGACCACTTTCAAGTTTCCTTTTCAAGAGCTTTTATTACTCTCCATGCATTTTGTGAAATGCTGTCTTCTACATTTAGCACAAGATATCATCCCAAGGTATTTTAATATTTGAGTAAAGGAAAAGGAGAAAAAAGTGTTTTGTGGCATAATTGATTTATAAGTAGAATTTCTGAGTTATTCTTGTTCATTATATACCCTGACAGTTTTTCAGAGAGTCTTTTAAAAACTCAAACCAGGATACTTGCTGCCTAACCGCTCAAAGTCCTGAAAGAGAAAAAGAATGAATTGAAACATAAAACTGGAGATCACTTAGTGGAAAGCCATCTGACTATACACTACAGGTGAATTCTTGGCCCCCTTGAAGTCAATGACATTGACTTCAGTGGAGTTAGGATTTTACTCTAGGAGCCTACTCCTTCTCCTAGAATGACGTTAGTAACAATGCTTGTTAGGAGCAGGATTGGATTCTACAATAGGTTCTTGCTGTATATGCCAGGCACAGATCTCGTATTACCACAGCTACCATGCTGATGGATGGACCCTTGTAAGAACAAACCATGCTGGTTTCTTGCTATATCTCTTGTTCCTTACTGGATAAAGGTTGCATATTTAACCACCTAAAGTGTTCTGTGAACAAGCAGCTGTCCTGAGCGTCTGAGCCTAAATTAGTGCAGCAGTTTTGTTACCACTTGGGCATGAATACCCACTGTCACATGATTTCCATACCATCACTACAGATATCACCCATTTCCATCAGGATGCTAAAGAATACCCTATTATCAGCAATTCATGGGGGGCATGTTGTCCAGTTTGGAATATATACTACATCTAACTTATAGTGAATGGTGGAAGTAAGTAACCTAATCTATTAATATTAAAGAGTAGCTGCAGCCCGACATGGAATGCTAGCATGCTTCAGTTGATCATGAAAGGAGTATTCAGACTTCAGTAAGTTCTTGGTAATAGTATAGCTCAGTGAATATGAGCATTGCTGGTCTGAGTGATTACTCATTTCCTCTGCCTGCTGTTTTCTTTCTGTCTTCATTTTGTTGCTTTTTATTATAATTGGATAAGTATGACATGGCAGAAGAACTATGTGTTAAATGTAGTGTTTCTATTGTGTTCTAAAATCTGTGAAGATAAAAGGTACTAGCTTAATGGTGGTCAATGGAGAAGAACATCTTTTCTTTACATCTGGGGAGGTTACTGTCTCGTAAGTGATTATTGTCCATAGTATCTGCACATACCCCATACTGTACTAGAAGTTCTTTGTTGTTGTTGTAATGCTTTGATTTAAAATAAAAATTGATTGAACTTTCATTTTTTTTAAAACAGTTGTCGGATTTGGAATGGATCCCAATTTACAAATTGATATTATCACAGAACTGGATCTTGTGAATACAACTATTGGAGTTACGCAAGTGTCAGGACTACATGCTAGCAAAGCATTTTTATTCCAAGGTAAATCAAACATCTTCATTTACCTAAGACAGCCTCTGTCTCCATGATTACTAAGAGACTGGATGTAAAACATATTCCCTGTACACAGAGCTTGCATTTTACTATGGGTTCTGTTGTTCCTAAGATACTGTTATTCTACTGAAATATGTTAATGGTATTTTTACAGGGATGAAATCAGGTCATTTAGGCCCAAAATTTCAATGAAAACATTTTTTGGGTGTGTTTAAACATTCCTCTGTTTAATTTCCAGTCGAATACTCCCACTGAGTTCCCTTGCATGGGCCCAGTTGCATGCATAGATAAGAGGACAGTATTGGAGCCCTTTGTAGTGTATTGATGCACACTGATAGTAATACACCAGTCTCTGTCAACTTCAATGGAATTGCATGCATAAGAAAGGCAAGCAATATTTATCTTCACTCTCTGAGCAGAGTGACCAGCACAAAGTAAATGAATTCATGGTAAAAATAAGACTCTGATTTCTAAAGTAATTTAAGTTTCAGTATTGTAAGGTGGAACTGGTAAGTGATTTAAAAATGGGATTTTTAACTGACCAGTGGATGAAGTCCTGGCCTCCATGAAGTCAATGTTGCGTTTTGCCATTGATGTTAGTGGGGCTAGGATTTCAGCCATTGTTTCTTAAAGCCCTAAACCGCAGAAGAAATGAGTTGCTACAATATGATTACATGAGCAAGTAATATGAACAGAGAGATTTTTTCACCTAGCTTAGTATAACTTTTCTGTAACTTGCTTAATACTTACATGAAAGACTGTCTTCAATGGCTCTGGTTTTTTTGCTTTGGTAACAATTTAGAGGGACAAAGGGCCTGATTCTGATCTCACTTACACTGGTTTTATTCCATGAACTTCAGTAGTTATGCATGATTTACGTTCGTGTACATGATACAAGAATCCGACCTATAACATAGCCTATTCTTTACCCAGCTGGTAAATATGTACAATATGAAGAGAGAGAACAGGTGTTCTAGCAGAGAGATTATTGAAGATCATATTTAAGAAATTATGCAAGGTTCACCTTCCTTTCAGGACTCAGAGTCAAATGGTTTCTGCTAATTCCTAGATGCTGGAATTATTATCAGCAACATCTAGAATATAGACATCAAGTTAAACATCTGAAATGTTTTGTTTTGGATACTCTTCCTAAAAAGTCAATTTTTTCATTTTGTGCTGGAGCACTCCGTAAGTAGTTGAGGCAAACAGTGTTAAAAGTGCAGTCATTCCTCAGCAGACTGCAATGTCCTAATTGGCTTAAACTATTTTAAAATTTCTCATGGTGTTTTTTTGGAGTTAATTGAGAACACATTGACAAACTGTCACCATAGATTTTCACAGTCTGATAGTGCCTAATGACAAAACTAAAAAGATCTGCATGTGCAACCCAGGGCTTGTTGCAACAGTTGATATTAAAAATAAATTTTAAGGGATAATGATTGTGATCTTATATTTCTTTAGCTCCTTTTGTCCTGGAAGATCCCCAGAACACTTTATGAACTTTACAAACTAACATAAAAACTAAACATGCTGTGAAGTTCATCCACCACTGAAATGCAGCCACCTCTGGATTAAATGTTCCTAGAAACTCTGAACAAAAGTTCAGAACAGTAAGTGAAGAATAAAATTCAGGGTCTTAAATTTATTATATAAAGTTCTTTATAACTGAGATTCTCCCCAAGAACAAAATTCTGCCCTTAGGTGCCTGTAGATAACCCTCAGTGCTTGAGCAATTGCCTCTTGCATACCACCCCTCCCTGCCCCCGCTCAGCAGGGTGGCTAGGGTAGAATTGCTCTAGGTATATAGTTTCAGTTAGGATTGGGTCTGGGACAAGACTCTTGACCCAAGGGTCCTTGGTTGTGTTACTCGTTCCCGGAGAAGGTCTGAAGGAGACCCTTTCCAGCTGCCTTTAGGCTAGGATGCAAATTCTAGATTATTCCTACCTAGTTTTTTGGGCTTTCCCCTCGTTATTTATTTGTTGAAAGCCAACAGTGTCGTTGGGGCTTTATAAGATGCAGAAGTCAAATAAAATGTTTCCTTTCATTGAGTAAAGTAGCTGACCGTAGGACAGTGGTTTTCAACCTTTTTTAATTTGTGGACCCCTAAACATTTTTGAATGGAGGTGTGGACCCCTTTGGAAATCTTAGATATACTCTGTGGATCCAAAGGGGTCCACAGACCACAGGTTGAAAATCACCACCTTAGCACTATGATTTGACCTTGTGCCAGATTGTTTGGTTCAGGATAACTCTGCTTGCTTCTGGTTGTTTGTTTTGTTTAATGTACATGTTTTTGTATTGGTTTTACTATATGGCACTTGTATATTTATTATTAGCTGGGTTTCCACTGTATTAAATAAATAATAATACTTTTCCCAGTTGAAACTTCAGGGAGAATTTGGGAAGGCAGAACATAAATTACCAGAGTTGGAAATTGGCGACACTAGACTGGAGCACTGAAAGATTGAAGTCTTGATCTTTGTGCTTATTTTATTTAACTTTTTCAATAGTTCTTCAGCATTACGGATTTACATTACAGTGCTCCTAAAATGAATGCCTTATAATAATGACTGGAAAATAGCATCCAGACTTTTTAAAATTGCAATATTTTGTTGGAGCATGTCACTAATACACTGCAATTTGTCTCTCCTCTTCTGTGTCCTCCAAGAGGTGATCCTGTCTTTCAGCTGAGCTTTGCTTTGATCATTTATTGGTGCACTTCACCCTTTAATGCCTGCTTTTCTTTGTTTCACCTCCTTGCTGCACATTGCTCCAATACCTGGCATCTTTCTCTAAGCCTTCAAAGTGGGGGAGCACCTGCTCTCTACCTGACACTAATGCTTCTGTCTGCATAACTGGAAAGGGGTCTGAGACAGACTCACTGGATGGTTGGATCATTGTATCAAGACAACAACTGAGCACTCTCCACTATTTGTATATATTTTATCTGTGTGCCCAGGGAGGAATTCTGAGAGTCAGATCTCTGGACTGCAGTTTAAATGATGACTTTATTATTTTTTTTCTGGATTTCAAAGTCCCATTATACAGTCGCTTCTGAAATTCAGCCGCATTTAAATCCCAAAATGGAAAATGAAGGGGAAGGATTGAGAAATTGTTACTTTAAATATAGGTTTGGCCTGTGTCATGTGATGAGACTACAACATGGTGTTGTTATGTATAGTACTAATAGGTGGCAGCAGAGCACCAGTTCTAAACTTCCTTGGGCCAAATTCTGCCTTTATTTACACCAGCATAAATTCAGAATAAGTCCACTGACTTCACTGGCATATTAGTTACATTGATGTCAAACCAGAGTAATTTTAAGAAGTCAGTGGAATATTCTGACTTTATACCCATGCACCTGAGAGTAGGATATAGCTCTGGAATTTGGATTTCAATTTAATACAGACAGAGACATATTTAGTCCTGGAGTGTGAGCAGTTGATAGGCAGCATCCTCTACAGTGAGGAACTGAAGTGGGAGTCGGAAGACATGGGTTCTACCATCTATTCCCATAACCTCATTTTATGTCAGTTGGCAAGTTAATTAGGCTGTGGTCCAGCGAAGCATGTAAGCATGTGAGTAGTCCCATGGAATGCTGGCTGCAGTGCAACAATATGGCTTTTTTCTGTGTGTGGGAGTGCTAGGTCTCCCTCACTCCTTCCCCCCACAACACTCACAGTGAGGGAACCATAACTTGGCCCTTTTGTATTATATCCAGTGTTAGCACCACTTTTATTTAAGGTTGCCTGATGCTTCCCATTATAAGATCCTGTTTTCAGTGACTTATAACTTTGCTAAACTTGAGCTGTTCAAGCTGAAATGTACCGTGTGGGGTGTCTGCCTCAGGCTGAAGTTCTGCAAAAGTGACAGCCAAAACAGTTAAGCTGTTTCTGAGAAGGAGGCTAGGGAAAAATACATTGTTTGAAATGTTTAAAAAAGAAGACCTGTTTAAAAAATGTCTTTGGAAAACTCTAGTGCTCCCATGTTTTGGAGCAGGACCTTGACATTTGCCAGGGAAGTGGCCTATGTGTCAGGGATGTGCTGTTTGCCATCCTTGTAAAAATGCACCCAGATTTGTCCAAGTTTCAAGCCTTTGAAAAATCAGTTTGCACGGGCTCAGTAGAGACTTAGATGTAGCAGCTAAAATCTCTGAAGATTCCATCCTCACTGAGCATGTTTGGGGCTCTAGTGCTGACCAGACTGTGTATGTGCAAGCCCCACAAATTAACTGAGCATCCTCCATCCCCTGAAAACTCCTAAGTGTGACCTGACTGCTCATTTGCTATCCTCACAGAGGGACTGAGTAGGCACCAGTCCAAGGCTACAGGAGTGAAGGTGGACTTTCCTCATAACAGCTGCTCTGGGATGAGGCCAGGCACTAGGACTGAGAGCCGGGAGGCTGTCTCTCCTGTGTTCTGAATGACTCCCTTACTGGTGCCCTGACAGGGTGGAAGAGGAGATGACTGCCTGACTCAAATACAGAGGAGACAAGAGCTGGACCTGGGGGCTGGCAGGGGAAGGCTGGGGAGTAGATGGGTACAAAAAGCCTGGGTGGGGGACTGTGATTGGAGGCTAGCAGGGGCAGAGAGGGAAATGGGGGCTGGAAGCTCAGTGTAGAAACTGGGACTGACTGGTCAAGAAGACTGAGGACAAGAAACTGGGATGGGGGGGCGTCTGGGAATGACTGGGCAAGGATACTGGAACTCGGATCAGAATCCTGAGGCTTGGAGACTGAATGAGTCAGTGAGGAACATGAGACTGAAATGGGACAGGGAGAGGTTGGAGGGGATGGGGCAGAAGGACTCATGTTCGGGGTAATGGGCAGAAAAGTCTGTGCCCACTACAGTATGTTTCCCTCCAGAGCCAGGAATGGAATGAAAGATCCTTACATCTCAGGCAATACCTTTGATGTCAGCAGATATCTGTGAGACCCATTGGCAAAGTGTCCCATCCTCCTCTTCTGCTGGTCCCCATAGAGAATGACA